TTCTGCCCCTCCTCGTCTCGAACGCCGCGCACATCTCGAGATTGGATACGTACCGCTCGAGATCCGATCGACGGGGCAATTCGTTTTTAATCGAACACGCGGTTGCCGATGCACCGATCGTTTGCAAATCGGCGATCGTTGCTTTGAATATCGTTGGGTTTGCCACGAAAGCGAAGCGAAGCGAAGCGAAACGGGGTAGGGAATCGGTACCGCACATCGCTGGGACGATATCGATCCCGCGTTCAGGAAGATCGCGCGGCCGTCCCGGAACGGACTTTCGGCTGGTCCGATTTTCGGGCAGCCGGGCCGGGCCGGGCCGGGCCGGTCCGCGGTGATCGATGATGATGCGTTGTTTCTAGAAAAAAGTAAGTCGCGTGGGCGTGGGAGGAGGGGGCCAGGTGGGGCAAGGGGTGCAACCGGTCGAGGAGTCTGGCGCGAGCGGTCAGTGGTGGAGGCAACAGCATCCATCCTATCATCATCATCATCATCACCAACACCATCACCATTACCATCATCAGGCCGGTTATTACACGTTGCCATCGCACACTCACAACAACCCCGTCACTACCATGAAGCAGTCCTACATGCAGGTTGGTCCACGTGGGTATACCGCGGCCGGCATCTACGTACAGGCCACCCAGTATAGCACGGCATTCCTGCAACGCTGTTTCGCTCTAATACGCTTCAAGAATCTGCCAAATTATCCAGAATTCCGGAATAACGTCTAATTATTCTTTCGATAGCGATTCTTCGCCGTTACACCGTGTAAATACTGCAATTTCTTCCGCTTCTGAAAACTAATTCTGTTTCCTTTCTTTCTCTCTATCTCTCTTTCTCTCTTTCTTTCGTGCAACATGCATTCGCAGAACACATTTTTTAGGAACCTAACGACCGTGTTCTACAGGGGTTACCTGTACAACGGTCGGTCCGTCCGTCGGATCGTCTTCGAGCCCCGTTAACAATCGGACCGTAAAAAGAAAGAGTAAAGAATAACTATGAACGTTGATGTTATTTAAGATTTCGCAGACGAGCACTCACCGTTGTCTGTTTCTGGTTTTTTGGTTACAGTTAACATGGGTGTTTCATGACGACGAGGCGCAGATTAATAAGAAACTGCCAAAAGAATTGCTGCTTAGGTACCGTAAGCGTATACACGTTTTTTCTCTTTCTCCCTTTCTCCCTTTCTCTCTCTTTTGCTCTCTCTCTCTCTCTCTCTCTCTCTCTCTCTCTCCCCCCCTCTCTCTCTCTCTTCT